AGGAATCGTCAATTTTGCGAATAGAGCACCGGAGGTGCCCCAAAATGCCAGTGGCACCGGAGTGGCACCGGATTCCAGTTGCACTGGAACCGGGCCGATGTAAGAAAAACAAATTAGGGATAAGTACGAAACAACGAGAATATTTATATTAGTATTTAAAGAAATACTCCGTATATAGTTTGACAAAATCCGTACTGTGTATTTTTTGAATTTAATGAGCCATGGAATATATCCTCATCCAAACTCATACCTCAAATTTAAACCGAAAGGAAACGCACCCCTTTTTTTCCCCAAATAAGAAATACTTTTGTTTTGAAGCATATGTTTAGAGTCAACATTTTATACTACTCTAATAAACTACATCTAAGAGTTTGATTTTTATTTTAAATGACCCTTATTTTATTCGATTTGACATGTTAATTTCTACGTTTTGTATATAAGAACATCATTCAATAATAGACAATTAAATTACGGCTAAAATGATACTTAAAGTTTATTTTAATCGAAAGTTAATCACTTCCAAACACTCTCACAGTAATCTTATGCACCAGTAAGATTTGCTCTTTTATTTGAACGTCCCAAAAAATTACGTTTCCAATTTTGGCATCCATTTTAAACAAAATGACTATATTACCCTTTATCTAATGCAAGGTGATAGTTTCTTGTGCGCACTAGACACGGAATAATTTCTCTTTGTCCCATAAATATCTTTCTCCTTCCTCCATTTCTTCCCTGGTTTGAAGAGCTCATCTATGGCTGACCCTACTCTATAACAAGTGTCTTCGTTTGAGGAGAAGTGAGGAAGAAGGAAGGAGAGGAAGAAACTTGAGAAGAAAATAGAGAAATTTTCTTTGTTTGGGCGGGAAAAAGATATGCTACTTATTTGCGATACCAAAATGCCAAATGCCAACTCAATACTAATGTTGCCCTATAAATAAATATTACATTGTAATCGAGTCAATAACACGATAAAAAATGATGCTGCACTTATAAGCTGAATTGAAAATAATGCTAGAATTTGGTATAGAAGTGGGTGCGGTGCAATACTTCTAAACTCATTGAAAATGAGATTCCAATAGTACTGTGAATTGCAATAAGTGCACTTGATTTACAAAATGAGTCCAACTAGACTTTCACAAAAGATGCACCTTGACGAAATATGACACAAACAAATTGTACACAATGGGAGTACAATATATAGAACAAAAAGTGATATACCCTCCTGCTTCTTCAAAACTCCAGGTCAAATACATTGAGGTATGGAGTATATGGGGTGGTTGGCATTTAAGCTCAATGTTCCAAGTATCCTCTTGTGCACCACCCATAAAGTTTGGGACATTCATTAATTGAGTCTAGTCCTCAAAAACCCCACGTCAATATTTTCTAAAATTGGATGACAGCGAGATTTGATCGTGTGATAGATTTGGGTTGCGTGACTTTCATTTGTGAAGATCTTGTATTGAAACCATACTATGCCTTGCGTCGATGTAGAAGTCTCAAGAAAAATTGTGCCGTGTCGCACTCATAAAAGTATTTTTTGTGCCACTTTCATGTTAGTGGATAGTGTGCATTGGGTTGCGTGACTTTCGTCCAAGTACTTGAGCCACGTCATTCCCTATGTGTACTCAAGCAAATGCATGTTCAAGCCCAAGTGCACCAATCATAATAGTTTTACACTAAATTGTTAGTCATTTTTGTAAGCCTGTGGATTATAAGAAGCAATTTAGTGTTGTGCAGGAAGAACAACTTTTTCGCACAGCGTAGGTACACAAAACCTAGAGCATATCGAGTCAATTGGGTTCAGGATCACTTACTTGCAAGAACTTTGTGTAGCAAAATAGCTAAGGGACTTTTTCGGGTAGAAGCGTAGAGCATATCTAGTCAAATTTAGATCCCACAAATTATGACAGTTCTTCAATGTTTTGAATCATATGAAGAAGATCCGACCCGGGTCCATCCGTTGAGATGGACTTAAATATCATCTCGCAAGTCGTATTATCCGGCAAGAACCCATGGCTCTTCATTTCCTGCAATAGCAAAACCGCCCCACTATGGTCTTTCCCTTTTACTAATCCACGAATCAGAACGTTGTAGGTACAACTATTAGGCACACAACCGTTTTTCTCCATTTGCCTGAGCACATTTTTTGCATCGTCTAGCCGGTTGTCATTGCAGAGTGCACTTATCATGATACCATAGGTCATGTCATTCGGCTTCAAACCTTTAGAAGGGAGGGAATTGAATAGGTTGAATCCACTAGCAAAGTTTCTATCTTTAAGCAGTCCATGCAAGACAATGTTATAGGACCTTATACCAGGAATCAAACCTTTCATTTCTTCCATCGTGCTCAGAAGCCCAAGCGCATGAGAAACACAATTGTTCTTAACGAAACCATCCAAAATGATATTGTAGATAACAATATTCGGACATATACCCGCACTACTTTCCATGACATTAAGAAAGTTCATAGCGTCATCGAACCTCCCAACATTAAATAGACCATCAAGTATGGTACCGTAGGAAACCGTGTCAGGTTTCAACCCTTTTCGTGGAAGACTTTGGAATACTTGAATGGCCTTATCCACATTCCCATTCTTGCAATAACCATTCATTAAGATGTCGTAAGTGAAAATGTCAGGTTTGCATCCCCAATGTATCATGCTTTTCAATAGTTTTTCAGCTTCATTCATTTTACCCTGCGAACAATACCCATCCAACAATGCAGCATATGTGACCACATCAGGTTCCACTCCATTTTGAAACATTGTCTCTATGACTTTCAGACCTTCTTTTACCCATCCCCTCTTGCAGAATCCGTCAACTAAAATGTTGTATGTATGCACATCAAAAGCAACCCTATAGTCGGCCATCTGTTTCAACATCACTTCAACCTCTTCCCATCGGTCAGAATTGCAAAGTCCATGGATTAGTGAATTATAGGTCACCACACCCGGAGCAATACCCTTGTCAATCATTTCTGTCAATAGCTCAAGTGCATTGTCCACCATCTCATCTTTACAGAAACTGTCAATAACCGTGCTATATGCAAAAACATCAGGGCTACAAATCCCTTTTTTCTCAAACAGACGAAGCAAATTCAATGCCCTGGAAGAGAACCCGAGTTTGCAGAGGCCATCAACTACTGTCGTCAACAAAACAACATCAGGCTCACACAGCTTCTCAACAAATATCTTCAGGAACAGATCGTGCGCCTCCTGAAACTTGTCTTCGCGGTAGAGACCCTTCAGCAACGTGCTGAATATGGGAGCATCAAGCACATGACCGGACTTGATAAACCTCACTAAAACAGCAAAACCCAAATCAACTCTGGGCAAAGAACAAAGAGCATTCATGACAGTGTGGAGAACTAATCCATCAATACGAATACCCTGAAGACACATATCATTGAACAATGTAACGGCATCAGAGTAGCATTTCATCTTCACCACTGCATTCAACAGCTGCGTGAATTCGACCTCAGAAGGCAGCGGTCGAATTCGAACCATTTCGCGGTACAAAGCAAGTGCATCATCAAGCTTGCGGACGTGCTTAAACCTGGAGCCGCGACTTTGGAAATAGAACTCCTGAATCGTCGTCCTAACATCATCTTCATTCTCCTTTATTTTCGTGGTAAAAGCCGCTATAACACTTGGATTGAGGCGCCAGCCAATTCCGCTACTAAGAAATTGAGTTGAGAAATTACCTCTGCGGAAAAAAGTTCTGGAATTTCTGAAAATTGAAGCCCAATTAACTTTCATTTGATGAAGAAGATGGAGCGACGACTGGATTGGTTTCTTTCACTTTGCTCCCGGTTCAGTTTTCCGGTTCGGAAATCTCAAGGGTCTGCCCGCCATTTGTCTCTCTCGTCATTTTCATGCATCCTTGAGCTGCCGCTCGCAAGAACCGCCGGAACCCTCCGTCCCCGGAGGAGAACGACCAGGGTTTTGACTTTTGAGATCCGCGGGGAACTATGGAAACACAACAAATTAAAGAGCTTGTACATAGTTGAAAAACTTGAAATTCTTCCATCTAAATTTAAGTTGCATATTTTATTTCTTTGTCTCAAATAAATAATTTGTTTCGTTTTACGGAGTATAATATTTCATTGAAGTTATATTCAATGCATTTGAATATTAATGTGAAATTAAAAAATAAAAATTATTCCATATATATTTAAACATTAGATCAAAAATTTTACATAACAAGAAGTAAGATAACTACGGAGTATATTATTTTAATAAACATATAACGAAAATAAATGAAAAAATGTGAATGAAATTTGATAATGTAAACACTAAACATGCAACTTAAATTGAGAAAGAGGAAGTATTATTTATAGAGTACGTATTCTACATAAAAAATCTCTTCAAATTCACTTTCAATTATTCTTTTTTTTAAAATAAGATTTGAATTTTTAAGTATTCTCTAAATGCATAATATGATTAATATCTTCAATTATAGATCATTTGTAAAATTTACAGTTTTTAAAACACAAAAAATTGAGTTAGATTAAATATTTTGGCTTGAAGCAAGCTCTTATTATACCTCCCTTATTCTTTACTCCTTATTTTGAAGTGTAAAATGTAAGGTTAGTGTGCTAGTATGTTCTCTTCGACTTGTCATTATTTGTTTTAATTAAAGTCAGATCAAATCAGATTAAAAACAACATTAAATACAACTATTTACACTCGAATCGTAATAAAATCTATCAAATCTAATCAGACCAACGGAAGAGAACATGTTCTTCCACATAGGATTAAACCTTGGGTATAAAGTAAACAAACAATCCCTTAGTGATTTCTTTCAACAGCCATCTGTTTGGTTATCAGTTCTCTCAAAAGGGAACCATGTGTGATTTTCATGGGGGGGGGGGTTAAAAGCATCCAAAACTTCATCAACACAATACAAGACAATATATGAACATTGACACGTAACTAGAAAGAGTGGATGATCATCGACACCGTTTGTGAAAAAAAGACCATAAGTTGAAGAAGTATGAAGGGAAGGATGAAAACCAGCAAAAAAATGTCATGGCTGTCGCCGACATAAACCTCTTGCAGTGATTGACAGCACATTTATCAATGTCGTTACCGATTAGGACTGTGATGCCAGCTGATGCACAAGCAGCAGCAAATGTTAAAGTGGATGTCACCTGCACCATAAAAAAAGAAGAAGAAAAAATCACTTAGGGCGCGTTTGGAACACTCTAGGACAACACTGGGGATGTGGGTGAACTAGGGGAAAACTAAGTAGGACAAAGATAACTTATTACCCCATCACCAATGGTGAATAGTCTAAGAAATCGTCCGTTTCTAAAACTTCGTTTCACCAAAAGAGCATATACATCAGCAATAAGAAGCGACAGGCTCCACAAGCTTTGTAAGCTAACAGCAGCCACAAGGAAGCTAATGCATCAGAGAGCACAGAGGTAATGGTTAATATCAATCCTTTGTTCAAGATTTTCAATACAACAGTAATACAAGAAAGACATTGAAGTCTAACACATATTGGCTACAACAAAAACCCAGTGTAATCCCACCTCTCTTGGAGCTTGGGGTTAGGAAGTATGCTAGACCATTAATGCATTGTTGCATCCTTGCATTTACTAACCAAAACTTTGTAACAAATTGGAAGCAAATGAAGTTTGATGTGGCATTTAGATTCAGTTTATACTTAACACATGCATGTATTGATTTTTTTTGAGACCCTTGAACCGTACTTGTTTACTAGTTACACCAGGCACTGCACAAAAGGAAAGGCATATTCAGAGATAATAATGATTTTCATAGTTTAGTGTCACATAATTTTCTTCTCTTAGTGCTCTAATTTTGCAATTTATGAAGTATATATTGCACTTAAGTTGGTTGGCCAGCACACTCTTTACAGGATGTTCCACAAAATGGTATTTCATATTCATAATGACTCTCTAAGTTCATGACAATAGAATTTCTTATCACAAATAATAGATATTGTTTTGCTAACATATTGTCCTTTTTTCGCTGCAGTATTTTGTTTCCCGACCCTGAAACACTACCATTTGGGTACTTGGAGACGTTCCCACACCCAAATCCATGTTAAAACTTGGAAATGTTAGTGATTCCCCATTCCCATCTCCCAACTCTATCCCCGTATGAGTACCCATCCCCTTCTTTGAGCAACTTAGTTAACAATGTATCAAGAAACTCTCTTCCCAATTTGCGTCCTAGCACATCTCTTCTCTATTGATTAACTCAGTATTATTTTGGAAAATTAATATTCACAATTATTTAGTCCTATTTCACCCCAAAAAAGATGTGCATGGTGTGACATAGCACAAGTGAAAACTGCAACGTTGAAAATGATGTAAAGGGGAGAGGAAAATTATGAGCCACATAAAACTTTCCATATATAGTCACAAACACTGAAAAATGGTGTATAACTATATTTAAAAATTTAACTATACTTTGACTAAACAAAACCCAAATGTAATCCCAACAAAGAGGCTATTTCCATTAGACCCTTGATGCAATGCAGCATTTACTACTTAAACTTCATAGAAAGTAAGTAGCAGATGAAACTTAGCATGACATTTTTATTTGGTGGAGTATTAATTATGTGAAGCTAAAACATTGGATATAATAACTCTATCTTGATTTCCAAACACTCTCATGTGCTCATTGATAGAAATATCAAATATAGAGTTTTGTGCAAGCTGATTGGGTAATTTTCCAAAGAAAAAAGCTTGAAAGACAAAGCTTTTTGCAAACCAAGCTTCAAAAGTAGTTGCTATAGAAACTCTAAGAAGTTGCTGCAATAATACTGGAAAAAAAACAAGTTTTTTAGGTTATAAATCTCTGCCAAAAAATCTCTTCATCAAAGACTCGAATTGAAGCTCCATGCCAAACACACCATAATCTCAAATCGAGAACCGTCTGCCTTTCTAAGATCTTGAGAGATCATAACTTCAATTGGCAGTTTTTTTTCTCAAAATTAAATTAAAACCGGTGGTTTTTGGGACGGGGAGAGGGGAAAGGAGAAGATGGATAGAAAGATGCATACCAGAAGGCTGTGGCGGACGGGAAATCGGAGGTGGTGGCCATAACACAGAGAGAAATGACCGCGAAAGCTAGCTGGGCGAGACGGAGAAAGAGGCTGCCGGCAGTTCCGGGCATGCCTTGAAAATTATTCATCCTTACCCTCGTCGGAAAGTTGCTCACCGACGGAGGCTCCACCGGATGCACCGCCGACCGGCTCGTCGTCATCGTGCAGTAAGATTCCAACGGCGGTAACCAATCGGAGAAAGAGAAGGCCGTAGCTGCCAAAACCCTAATGGGAACTGAAAAACTGCCGGAGAAATATGCCTTCGCCGTTTCCCCCTCCGCCCACTGGGTCCTCGATCCACTGTTTCCACTGGCAATATATACGGAGGATATGTTACCTCCTACGAGTATACCCCGGAGTATCTTTCTTCCTAAATTGGAAAGATCCCCAAAAATATTTTTTTTTAATAATTTTATTTACAAATTGATATAAAAATAAAAATAATACATTACACTTTTTAAAATTACATTAAAATTTCTACAATACAAGAATAATGAATGAAAGTATGCATACAAACATAAATTATTAAAAGAATGTCTCGTTTCCAATTTTTTTATTTTAGTTGTACATCCGTATTTATTTTAATTAAAATAAATATTGTGTTACTCGTAAATATACATCATATATAAATGTAATAAGTATTATGTAGTTTTCAAATTAATTTACACACATTTTGTAATGTATAAGTTTTGTATACATACTAAAATAAAGAGTAAATTCCATAAATGGTCCTTTATAGCAGAGGAGTTTCTCTATTTAGTTCTCTATTTTCAAATATTACCCTAGTGGTCCTTCTTTTATGGGTATCTTTCCACAAATAGTCCTTTTTTGATCTTCTATCATGTTCGTGTTAATTTGAGGCTAAAAGTGTATTTTCACAACGATAATATATCTTTTTTGTCATACACAATTCCAAAGACTGATCTGTTTGCGTCGTTTGTGAATTACAGTCGCTTTCTACTACAACCATATTCTACAAATGTGGTCTTCTGTTGAAATCCTAGCCCACAATCATAGTCATTATTTTTATGTTATCTGCTTAACCAATATCAGAACACGTCACTAGACATAATGTTGATGTCAAATTATACTTTTAGCCTTTAAATTAACACCAACATGGTAAAAGATAAAAAAGAACCATTTGTGGAAAGACACCCTTAAAAAAGGACTACGGGGATAATATTTGATAATAGAGGACTAAATATGGAAACCTCACTGTTATAAAGTACGGAATACCAATTATAGAATTTATTCTAAAATAAACATATATACAAATTGAGTATTCATGTAGATACAAGAAAAACACCGTATATCAAAATGTACTCCCTCCGTTTGGGAAAACCCTTCCCACTTTGAAAATAAGGCAAATTAAGGAAGTGTAAAATTATAGTTGACTTCCAATTTTGCCCCTGATGTGATGGGTAAAAGTAAGATGTGATGGATTGATTATTAGAGAAAAAGTATGATGTGATAGGTAGGGTTTGAAAAAGTAAGGGTAAAAGTAGTTTTTTAATAGAAAGGAGAAGTGTTTTGTTAGAAGTGAAAAAAATAAAAGAGGAAGTGTTTTTGAGAACGGAGGGAGTATAATATAAGGACACGTTTCCCCTCTACTTTTTCTTTAACCCACTTTTTTCAATACTCCGCACTAAAGTTCAAATCTTCAATCAAATGAGTTCCAAAAGATAAATTAATTTTACAGAGATCTTAAAAATTAGCCACTTTTCACCATTGGCGTTCAATAAAATTACTCACTTATTTTATTTTCAAGAAAATGGGTGAGAAATAAATTTTGGTATCTAGGTTCAGTCATGCACGCACAGAGTGTTTGATGAAGATGTTGTTCATCGTAATCATATTAGAGTCACTTCGGCAAAGTAGAAGTTTTGCTTCAGGGGTCTTCTTATGCCAAATCGAAGATGCAAAAGGCTTACGGTAGTGGGCGGGAGTTGGAGGATGAGATAGGCCTAAGAAAAGTTGGAAAGAGGGGATTAAACAAGACTTAGACTTTTGAGCCTTATCGAAGATATGACCTTTGATAGAATGGACGGATTCTGTTGACACCGGCTCCGATTCTAAAATTCCACTAGAGTTATGGAGCACATACGGTGCTCTGTTTGTAATATTCATGATTTTATAGTTTATACAACTTCTCTAAATCACTCGTATAGTTATTACTTCATTAAAAAATGTACACAATCAATAGAAGGCAAATTAGGATAAAGGAAGTATGTCTTTCCAAACCCACAAAAATAACACTTGACTCTGTGAAGAAAAATACTTGTCTCACTGTTAAAAAAAAGATGAGTCGTGAACAAATGTTATGTTTATTGAACCTTATATAGTTAAACTCTCGCGCCTCCATCTCATCTTGCTGACAACCATTATCTATTGGAAATTATTGTCTGTGAAACGCTGGCCGTGTCAACTTTGGTGTGATTGTAGCACCTCTTGCACAAAATGAATGTCTAATCTAAAACCTGAAATTCCGTGATGTGAAAGTGGGCAAGTTGGAGAACACCATGTAGGATTGATCTTCTAAGAATGACTTTGTGACATGCTCATGAGCCCTCTTCATTAAAATTATGATGTTCCAAGAATCTACAAAACAAACTATGAATCTATTTATGTTCTTGTGCTAATGAATCCCAAAGGAAGAGGGTGGCCGGGGCGGGGGAGAGGTAATGGAGTAAGATATGAAAATCCCCACCCTCCTCCTCCCAAATAAATAAATAAAGACCAGGGTTCTTTTGATACCTGTTTTGGATGTCATAATATGACTTTGCGGCGCTAAGGTGCTCCATTGGACTCAAAAGTTACTCTAACCCCCACCCTCCCCCCTATCGCTGAAATGCTACAGTAGTATTGTAGCATATCGGCATTCCAAGAGCGTGGGGGTAGGAAACACTTTAGAGTCTAACAGAACAGCGTAGGTATCTCAAATGACTGGTGTCATATTATGACACTCATGCTTGGTGTCAAAAAATCCTTGCTCATAGATAAATAAATAAATAATAAAAGCATGTCAGATGCCAAAAAAAACTGAAAAGACGGTGGTTAATGATTCATAGGACATAGCAAACCTGGTAAGAACATGGGAGTTGTGTAAAAAAAGGCACAAGTTAGGGGCCATAAATTCGCAGCTTTGAGACGTTGAGTTCAAGTAGGTCCTCCGATGGTGCGAGGCAACCTTCGTGTCCTGGGCATAGGCAATCCCCCGAGTCCTTCTAGGAAATCCTCAATCAACCTGAAAAGATCATTAAAAAAAGTGAAGAGATAAATTGTCCGGAGTATCTGATATACTTTTTGCTGGAATTGAAAATACATTAGCATAGAAAATCTTGGTAAGAGAAGTGCAAGAAATTAAGGCATTGTTTGGTAAGAGGTGGAGGTACTTATGTTACGGCAATTTATTTTACTCAGTAGTATTGTTTGGTTGGGTACTTAGTTTGGTTTTAATCGTTTTATACAGGTTCAAGGTTAGCTAAAACTTGTATTCAGCTGAGTGTGTACCCAGGGTTTGGAACCTAAAGTCTACAAACTAACTGGAGTTTGGATAACTGGAATTAAAAATGAATAGAACATGGCCTTACATGCTGCAAATGGACTTTTGTGATGCGGCAAGCTCACGGTCCGGAAAGCTCTCATCTAGCCGAAAACTCAACCAAACATATAGATCCAAAACCTTCAATGGTTAACAAGCTGAGTTAGTTAGCATCTGATTCCAAGTGAAATCTAGTTCGAGAAAAAAAAATAGTATTCCTCAAATAGAAGATTAACTTAATGTCCTACTTTTTGTTAGAATTTAGCGGGTCTGTTGTGGTTGTTGTAGAAAAGTTACTTTTTGCTAACCTTGTGAATAGATTCGAGCTCTTTAAGTGCTGTTTGCGTCTTCGGCACCTGAAGTGTCCCCGGAGTAAATATTTCTCGAAGTCTAACAATGCCCTTCTTTGAATAATTCGTTGCGAACTAACCACAAGAGATAAGGATTATCTTGTTAAGCATCTTTGACTTTCAAACACAAAATTCTCGTGCATAAGAAATAAACAGAGTATTATAGAGACATTTATCAGCAGATCTTACTTGGGTGAGGCCCTGGGATGAGATTTCATCATTTACGTCCACTGGACTGCAGACAATACATTACCACTTTGTCAACAACTGGCAAGAATCAGTCGAATCAAATGTATACTATTTCAGGGGAGGGTGGCGTTTGGGACTTTTCATGAAAATTACCATGCTTCCAAAGTTTTTATTTTTGGATCAAACATGGAGCATGTGATGATCCAGTTTGAGTGTTAAAAGTAATACACTAATAGTAAGATCTTGCCAATTCAATTGGGGCTCGTATTCTCTTGCCTAAGCCGTATATTAGAATTGTACTAGTCTTAATGAAGAATGAGGTTGTAAATTAAAACATTTTGTGTGATTTTGATTTCATCCATTATGTGCCCGAAGCTAAAACAATTTCAATTGTCACTCTTTTAGCTCATTTGGCAATGAATGAAGCATGATTGACAGATCTTGAATTCTTGATGATATTTTCATTAGAAGGAAAATTTTACAATCATTCTCTCCCTATCTATGAATATGTTCCAAGTGCTATGAATTAAATGGAATGGCTATCTCTCTTTGGAGTGGCTACGAAGATTACCTTATACAAAAGAGGTATTTATCGTGCAAACTCAGTGGCAACTCATCAATAATAGAAGCAACTTTCTGCCGCGAAAAAACAGAAGAATCGTCAAGGATGTGGATTTCAGAAGAAGAAAAGCTGTTTTGATTTTTTTGTTTTAAATATATATATACATACATACATACACACACACACACACACACACACACACACATATATATATATATATATTTATATTTATATTTATATTTATATTTATATTTATATTTATATTTATATTTATATTTATATTTATATATCTGTGTGTGTGTGGGGGGGGGGGGATAAATGAGCTTACCAGCAAATCTTCACAATTAGATATAAAATAATTTTCTGATAGCTTTGCATTATCTACAAAGTGCTCCTGGGAAGAAAATATACATATATTGTAAAGGCCATGAGTTACAAAATGTACAAAGTATAATACAGCCATGAGTCACAAAATGGAAAAATTACGGAAAATAAAAAGAGGGAAAGTATTGAGCTACCTACCAGTATATCGTAAAGGCCGAGTTTTGGGTGTAGACGAGAATACATATATAGAAGGTCAAAGTGTGGAAATAGCCCAGCTTTCTGTGGCAAAAAGCACATTTCTATCAGTTCTTAGCAGGGTTCACTTACTATCACAACATTGTTAGGATCTCTCGCACAACCACACTGATCTAGATGATAAAGAAATAAAGAAATTGGATGAAGAAACGAAGATCATAGAGGTACATCAATATTTAACCGTGTGAAAAAGAAAGGTACCAAGTTGAACCGTGCGGACGAGCACTATTTAACCATACATCAAATATTACACCAGGGTCAACAACCTAACATGAGTTAGGTATCTGTAAAAAGAAGTCATCCAACTGTTCGTCAATACCTCAATTATAGGAGATGGACAATCCAGTGCAGAATGAAGTAAGGGTAGATCATCAGCATCTAGACAAGTCACTTCACCAATAGGAAACTGAGATCCATACCTGCCAGCTCTTCCTGCAAAGATATTGTCCCATATTTCACTTTGATTGTCCTATGTTCATTGTATCATTTCCCAAATTTGTTGAAATGAGTAAAACCAAACTAAGAAGTTTTTTTCTGAACTAATAACATAACAAAAATATTTGGGCTAAAATAAAGATATTTTTGTTCTTAACAACTAAAAAACTAACATTTGTGCCAAAATAAAATGATAAGATATCTTTGGGATAGAGGGAGTGTTACAACAACTCAGTACAATCCCAACCGTCAGTGTCAAGAGGTACACAGTTTTACCCATGTATAAACAGAGAGACTCTTTCCGTTAGACCGTAGATGCATTGCGGCATTTATGGGCCAAAACTTCAGAGGAAGTAAGAAGCAAGAGAAGTTCACATTGAATTTTGATTTAGTCCATTATGTGCCCAAATCTAAAACATTGGCAATGCAGGGAGAGGGAGTATAACAAGTTTTGCAAATTTATTTACTCTACTTAGAAAGACACGTTGTAACCAAAACTCGCTCCAATATATTACCCATTTTAAAAATATTTTGAAACATTTTACTAAGTTGGTGAACTATTTTAGAAATAACACCTGCGATCTGTTTTATCTCAGATACTGTCAGATCCCGCGTTTCTAAACCGTCAAACTTCTTTAATGTAGAAAATATTATTCTAGATATGTTGAGATTGAGACCCATCCCAATAGCATCGCTTGCCACCAGAACATCGAAGACACTTTTTGCATCATTGAACATTGTTGCCTGCAGCCATAAAGAACATAATCACACCAGATCAGGTGCATTGTGGGAATAGACAAATGCTATTAGGTCATTTCTGCAATTAATGGAGGAGAATGGGGAAATAATGGAAAGTATGAATAGTTTGATATCTTTACAACAACAACAACAACAACAACACCAACAAGCCCAGTAAATACCACAAAATATATGGTACGGGGAGGGTGTGTGTAGGCAAACATTACCCCTATTGTGAAGTAGAGAGGCTGTTTCCAATAGTTTGATATCAGCAAGTCAACAACAACATTACCCATTTACCCCAGTGCCTCAAAGGCTCTCCCGTCCATTGCAGGGTATGGAATAGTTTGATTTTGACATCAATTCCATGAAAATACTTTCAATGGTAAGTGAGAGAACTAATCAATAGCACGCTAAAACAAAGTCCAGTCTCACACATAATGACAACTCTAGAGACAATAGAGAGAAAGAGAGAGATGCTACACCTGTCTGGTTCGAGTCTCAGGAGGCAATGAACCGTACACTACAGAGCAAAGATGCTTTCCTCCCCTTTCAATTAGGTTCTGTCAGCAGCACCATAGGAGAAAAAGAAACACAATGAGGACAAAGTATGACTCAAATTGCTTACAACCACCGAGAGAATATGTAGATTGAGAATGAGGATTATTCTCGAAATCCACGGTGCTTCTATGATCGTTTAATAACAAACACAAGTGCACAAACATGCATACAGTATTACAGTTAAGCAGCAAGAAAACATTGTATGCTTTTCATCAAACCAATTTAATTGATCCAACAGCTAAATACTCCCCTTGTACCTAAAAGAACTTTTTGCTTTCCAATTTCAGCTGTCCCAAAAGTTATCATTCCATTAAGAGAAAGAAATGATTGGTTCATATTATTTCTCTTTCCTCTATAAATTTCCCCCATAAAATTTTACTTTTTCTTAAAATGCAAACAAGAACTCCTTTTAGGGACGAAGGAAGTATATCTTAATCTTAAGAAAGCAAATAAAGCTTCAAGGTTTTATTTTTAGTTAAAATTAAATGATTCCCCTCATGTATGCATGTTGTGTGTGTGCGTTTTTTGGTGAGTGTGTGGGGAGGTGGGGGTGAGGCTTTATGTATAAATGAGAAGACAATAACATGTAATACAATCAGATATTATGGACATGGCATACCTAACTAAATCTAGTTAGTTGTCTACAATATAACAATTTAGTTAATTAAATTAGTTAACCTATTTAACAAGTCCAAGGAAAATAGCGTTCTAACCTTAAGCCTATAAATTTTAGGGCGTGAAAAGGTCACAATACAGTCGCCAGTCCGTATATTGGTGAATGGGCCCAGAGGAACCTTCAACGGGACAAGGGGCGAGAGCCTCTCATAGTATTCGACCTAGGCAGCATTTTAGAGAAAATAAGAAACAGTGGTTAATTATGGCAATAAAGAATCATATTAATCGAGTGGCCAATGCTGTCATTTTGGCATCATGAAAATTTCATTATTCTTACCTTTTTTATGCCTGTCCCAAATTATCTACTCTTTCAATTTTAAGAAATGATTCTATGGTAAATAATGTTCCCACGCAGCTTTCTCTTTCTTAAAAAAAGTGTGAAGTCAAACCATGAATTAAAAAGAAGACAGAGGGAGTATTATAGTATTAAATTTTTTAACACGACCAAATTGCTCCCATACCCCTTAACAGAGGAGGTAATGATGCATATAGTATAATAGAATTACGGTTTAACTTCTAAGAAAATGATTATAAAAAAATGAATACCAAGATAGTGCTTGGTATTCCTTTCCCTTAACAATGGCATCAAATGTTTAAAATTGACAAGGCCACATTCTTTTTTAGTGTATAAATATTTAAAAAAAACATAGATCCCACACATATAACACACCTGAATGCTATCGCCAGTCACTTTAAGGATCTCCTTGATTAAAGGAACAGCTCCAGGATCTCCACACAAGTGAAGCTCATCGGCAGATATTCCTAATAAAGCACGTGTGAATGAGAACCCCCTTGTACTGCATCCTATCATCTTTACAAAGAATAGAATAAGAGATAAAAATTAATTCCTCAAAAAAAAAGAAAGATTCTATATGAATTTCAAACATTGCTCCACAATACTTAGAATGCTTTTTTAAAATGTTAATCACTTTGAAAGTAAATACTGAAATTCAATCACACCGATTCCATTTGCTACAATTTGAGTTATTAATTATATAAAGCAATTAACGTGATGGAACTTTAATTCCACCGAATATTAATCTCACGATCTCTCTCAAGAATTATGAAATAAGAGAAGTATATTGAACTCAAAAATGGTATCAAAGACTCCCTTTATTCAAATCCCTTGGGGGATATTTATAGCCTCCTAAGCTTCCTAATCCTACTAGGCTTTTCTTAGGAAACTAGATAAATCTCTCCCCAAGTAATTTACACTAGATAGACACGGCTCTAGCCCATTAAAGGCGCCAAACGGCCCACGCGGGTTGACCCTCGTACAAGCTCATGGACCCTTATCGGGTCTGGTCACGCTCGTCTTAGGATATGACCTGGATAAGTGTATTGGGCTAATTACACTAATATTTATCTCTCGGCCCAATATACCCATCAAAACGCGTTGCTTAAATGGACTATTCCAACCACAAGATAGCACATATGACTATATAGTATATACTCTGTATATCAGAAGCACCTTGGCACTGCCATATTTATTAGATAATTGGGCAATGTAGTTAAAGGTCTCACGTGGTCAAGGAAAATATTGGGTAACAGCAAACGATCAATAAGTGCAAACAAGAATTTGATAAAAACTATGCATTGAGCTCCACAAACAACAAGCCACTAAAATCCCATAAAAAGTAGGGTCTGGGGAGGGTGTGTATATGCAGAAGCAAAGAGGTTGTTTCCAAGAAACCCCCGGCTCAGTTACAGAATTACAAATAAAAATGGAAAAAGCGTGTACGAAAGAATCTTTTGTGTAAATTTACAAACCTGCCAAAACGAGGTTCTTCCGTCTCAACTCCTAATAGACCAAATAGGTGATGGTATACCACTCAGAGTCAGAGCTAACAATTATGAGGCCACGGGAGATTAGGGCTGTTTTAAATCAGCTTGTTCTACAACAAGGTTTTTTATCAGCCCTTCTACATTAACAATTTAATGTTTTCACTGTCTGTCTCTATGCTAACAACCTTATGGCAGACTATCTTGAATATTGTGAACATAATTTCAAGCATTCATGAATGAGAAAACTTTTAAATAAACTACACGTCTGAATCTCATCAATAAAATCATACAATTAGAAATCACACAAGCAGTTTATATATTAACAACCTTATGGAAACAACAACAAACTCAGTATAATGCACACAAAAGTAGGGTCTAGGGAGGTTCTGAGTACGCAAAAATTGAGAGACAGTTTTCAAGAGACTTCTAACTCAAATACAATAACACAAACAAAGAACAAACAGTAGCACAAATGAAGTAATAGCACAGAACCAAAAAGCACAAGTACCAACACTAGCAAGTAGCAACTAGACCCAAAACACATAGAGCAAACAAAAACAAGCTACAGACTATGGTAAAAGCACACCATCAAAAGCTACAAACTAAGACCCAATGGTCTAGCCAACTACTCTATGCCTAGATCTAGATATTCATACGTAAGGTCATATCTAAGTAACAACCTTATAGAAAGTGCTTAATATTTCGAATGAATACAAGTGTTTCTACATGCCTGGATCTCATCAATAACAGCACACCCATAATTAGAAGACACATCCGCCATTTCTACGGTAACAGATTTATGCTTTGCACCCTCAACTTCCTCAATTTCTTGTCCAGTTATAAGGTCACAAGGAACGTTAGCTTTGTTCAACCGTTTTGCCACCTCCCATGCCAACAGCCTCAATGGCCCACAATAAATGCCTGTTCCGTTTCTGAACTGGTTATCTTGTGTGAATCAACTTTACTTATTACTGAGTATAAGTGGTATAATAAAAAGATCATGGAAGTAAAAACGGAATGAAACACATCAGCATTCATAACTTACCCGAAGAACTTGACTGCAGTTGTTTGAGGGCATGGTGTGTTTTCCCACTGTTTGTTGGACCCACATGTAAAATAACATTTCGAGTCTTCTTTCGTGCATGTGGATACCATGTGTGAGGATGGCTGGTTCCAACAAAGAAAGAAAACGTAAGCATTTCGAAGATTACAGTTCATTAAGGAAGGAGAATAAATAAGTTGGGACTGCTATTGTAGGTATGCTCCTTACGTAAGATCTGTAAAATCCACTTTTCTTATGCGAGCTGAACTGCTCAGATGTCTTGCAAAGTTACAAACATGAATACAAAATTCATGTTTCATACTCAATGTGAGTGAATATAACTCAGCATCATCTGTCAAACACAATAAGAAATAACTCAACAACAGATGGGGGCCAGCGTGTGGCGTAAAAGTCATGGTAAATGAGCACGGTTTATGCTCAAGGAGTAAGGATGTAAGATAATAATTGCAAGAAAGTAAGAATATAAGCTAGCAAGTTCTTTCAACAAAAGATGAGCATATTCATAGTGTGGTCTTTTAAAACAAGGAAAATTTAACAATGAAGTGAGAATGTGAAGCACTATAAGTCTATAACAGTTGCAATCATTTGAAAACAAATTAGACAATTAGTAATTCCTGGTGAATAAGATGACATTTTGTTTCTGCCCTAATAGGTTCATATGCATTTTCCTCCAAACCCACGCATTCTTTCCGACAGAGGATTTGTTCTTTTCAGTCGGATAAACAAAGTTGTATATTGGAAGAAACTAGAAAGAGTTGGAGTAAATTGGAAAAACTGGAAGATGTTGGAACTTAAAGCTTACAATCCAAATGAACACATCTTAAGAAACAGATACGGACACACGGGCACATTATGTCTGAATCTAATTACAGGAACATACAAAATTATAAAACTATGACATGAACACGACACAAATACATGATACATTAATGCATTTACTTCCTAAAACTTCATACTCTATAAAGTAGTACCAAAACCTTGATGCATCAATGCATTTACTTCCTAAAACTTCATATAAAGAATCAACGGAGAGTTAACAAAATATGTTTCCATGTAATGGAAATTAAACAAAATTATCTCACTTCACAATATTTTCTTCTCCTTCCCCTTTAGGAAAAAAAACCCACACTAATCTTCCTCTTCAGCCTCCCTCTTAGAATTCTTGCTATGTTTATTCCCGAAATGCCTCCCTCCATTTCTTCTTCTTGTCTTCTTCAAATGGTCTCCAAAATCCAAATGCAGATATCCTAACACCCAAATTTTCAAAATGAAAACGATGGGCATTGGCCACGACAATGAGGATAGTGCTGAAGCCACTTTGCTGCATCTTGATATACTCTTACAATTCTGCCATTTTTGTTCGTAACCAACAGTATGGCTGCACATGTAGAATTGGGAGATTATACTCCCAAAACCAATTGGGAAGGAGTAACTTACATTCACTCGTGTGCAATAGAACCCCTGAATCCAACCTCCCCTTAGCCCAAGCCGCTCCAATATAGTGCGCAACATCCCCGTCTAACTCCTCATTAGCCTGAATGACCGAACCAAGATACTGAAACTTGTCTACCTTGGGCACTGAGTGGTAACAAATTCTAACTCATATTCTTATATATTAGTCTTTTTTAGATTGAATGTTAGTTCTATGTGGGACTATATACTCAACACCCCCTTGAGTGCAACTTAGGTCTTTTTGCCTCATATTGTCATTTGCTTTGTTAAACTAGGGCTTTTTTGAGCTCATACACTTATGTCTTAGATAAATTAGTCCTTTTTAGATTGAATGTTAATTCTATGTGGGACTATATACTCAGCATCCCCGCGAGTGCAACTTAGGTCTTTTTGCCTCATATTGTCATTTGCTTTGTTAAACTAGGGCTTTTTTGAGCTCATAAGCTTATGGCTTAGATACATTCAATCCTAAAACCAATTGGGGATAGCAGGAGTAACTCATATTCTTATATATTAGAGTGAATATTCGATGTGGGACTACGCATGCAAAGCTTTCTACAAGAGATGTACAAGCCTGGTATTCTTGAATTTGGCATCTGGCGTTCCAATGGTAAATTTTGAATGATTAAAATCAAGAGCTCAATGATCAGAAACGTGAGTGCTTCTAGTATATCTTAAAAAGAAAGGATTTTGGCTAAAGTTAAAGGCAATGCTTGCTCAAAAGTAATGGAATATGAATGGAAGAAAAGAAAAATATCAAAATTGGAGGCTAAGAAATAACAATGGCGAGAATAGCAGAGAGTAAAAAAAAACACAATTGGAGGAAAAGAGGTATGCATACGCAAAGGTGAGATGAGTGTCCCCAAAAGGCTCCTCCTGATCCTCATACGGCGGCGGCGGCGGCGGCGGCTTGAACAGTTACCACCAGTCTCTTCTGGGTTTCACAAATAACAGGGATTTCCCAATGTGGGAGAAGAAACGGAACAGTACCACCGCCTCAGGGTTGTTTTGGTGGGAGGCGCTCTTTGTAATTCCAAAATTGGATTTATTTTAGATAATTGATGATTAATTAATCTTTTAGAAGTGAACTATAAATCCACGAAATGTGGAGTTATGGGTTTTCGTAATATTCGAGCCTTTTGGTTATGTGTTGTTTGATATAGAAGGAAAGTTTTATCCTGACTTTGTGATCGTGATGTGAGATGTGGAAGTTTTTTCTAGCGGTCAAACATTAATTCATGGGCCAAATCATGGTAGATCTTTTGTTTCTTTTCATATTGGGTTCTCTTCTTGATTCGTGTTTGGAGTTATCAAAGTTTTTTCTTGAAGTGTCTGTCAATGTTGTCCGTAGAGATATGTATGATGTAGTCCATGCTATACCTTAGCTTGGCTAGAAGTGTTGTGACTCAGCCAGGAATCCGGGATTGTGGGAGTCTATTCCACTTAGTTGTACTACTCATTTGATTTCTTCTGAATGAAAGTTTTCATTTCCTTCAAATAAAGTGAACTATAAAACAAAACCGAATTTCTCCCTTAGCTTGAGTGATAGGAAACTCACTCTCCTACATTCATGGGGGTCGGAAGTTCACTCAGGCTCGCTCCCAAATGGAGACAGAAGCATTGACTCTTTATGCGTCATTAGAAATGTTTGAACACATACCACTATGTAATAGAGTCAATAGCATTCAAAAAAACTATAAAACAAAACATAAGGACTTACTACGAATTATTTTTTTAACTTTTGTGTAAAGCATATATGTTGATCCATACAAATTCTTCGATTATTATACCAATGATATTTATACTCCGTATAAAATACTACCTCCGTCCAAGAGTTTGTCCACTTTCTTTTTTACACATCATCCAATGCATTTCTTTAATCTATTTTATCTTATAATTTGTATATTAAAAAATTATAGAAATTATATATTAATAATCTATATGTTAAGACAAATCAAACAAGATCACACATGACTATATTTAGGCTTACACATTGAAAGAATTTGATGAGTCAAAGTTCTTAGATGAACAGTTCCAAAAGTCAAAACTGGACGAATACTCCAGGACGGAGGGAGTAGTACTTCATAATAACAATACAAGATTTGATATTTTAAAACATACATTTTTTTGAAAAAAATATACTCCCTCCGTCTTAAAATTAATTTCCCATTTGACTTTTCACGGTCTTCAATGCGGCACTTTGACCATTAATATCTTAATTTCTATATAAATATATTTTATAAAAATTATATATTTCAAAACTATGTTTCAAAATGAATCTATTGCTAATAAATTTATATGAAAATTTAATTTATTTTTTCTGTAATATACAGTCAAAGTTTAAAAAGTTTGACTATAAAAGTCAAACTGGGAAATTAATTTTAGGACGGAGGGAGTACATTTCTATAAACATCGATAAAGATCGAGCCTAAGGCTTGAATGGTTGTATAGGTCCACTAGCCCAACTCAAAGTTTCTAAGGGGCTAAAGGGAGTCATGTCCTTTTAGACCAGATCAATAGAGTAAGGTTTGAGCTCGTGATAATGATCTAGAGTTAAAAAAATCTATTATAATCTAGAGTCATGAGAAAATGAAGAACATGAGAAGAAACACGATTTGATCCTTCCAAATTTAGGATTTTTACTATATCTTTATCCACCATGTATAAATAGACCCCTTCATTATATAAAAGAGGCGAAAAATTATTAAATACACGATATATTGTGAAACTAATCTTTATTTTAAATTTTCTATTAAAATCAAATCCATCAAACACAAAAGAATAATAATATTTTATTAAACCAATAACAAAATCTCTTTTTCAATTAAAAACAAGAAAATATACATAAATACTCTACGAAATAGATGATTTTAAATCAATATTTTAAAATTCAATAATGGACACTTCTTTTAGAAATAAGAGTAACTCATCTTTACACTGTTGCTCCGAATGGCTAACTAAGCTATACATGTGATATTTTGAATGATTACTGGATAATTATTTAGTAGAGAATATGCATTAAAAAACACATATAAATAAACAAGATGTAAACCAATATTTTATTTTATCAAATAATAAATAAATAATACGGAGTATAAAGAAGAATATTATCAGGAGACAAATAATAATTGAAACAATATTTTGGAGACGCAAAAATAAAAATGTAAGGGATTCAGCTGACATTAGCCCCTCATGTCATCCTATGACATAAGTCCCGACTAGGACATCTACGGTGTTTCATTTGAAAAATTGATAGTTTCTATCCCTCTAAATCCTCTCCCACCCCAGCCCATACCTACTAAGTACTACCCATGCACATCTGTAAATTGCACCTAACAAAACTTAGTTGACTTTGGAGTCAAATTTTAGCTCTAAAGTCAACTAAATTTTATAGGGTACGTATGCAATTGACGGGGGTGTGAGAGTGTATTTGGACTGGGCCGGGGTAAAAATTTACTCTAAGGGATATGAACTACTGAGTACTTGGTCCGTCCCTGAGTGTTTGTCCATTTTGACTTTTGGAACTGTTCATCTAAGCACTTTGACTTATCAAATTCTCTCAATATGTAAGCCTAAAAATAGTCATGTGTGATCTTGTTTGATTCGTCTTAACATATAGATTATTAATATATAATTTTTATAATTTTTTAATATACAAATTACAAGATAAAATGGATTAAAGAAGTGCATTGGATGGTGTGCAAAAATGAAAATGGACAAACACTCAAGGACGGAGGGAGTATTAATTTTTCAAACACATTAATACATTGATATGAGGTCAGAAGAAGTTGTGAAGATGGTTTGTGGAAAGGGGCGACAAGAACAAGTTGGAGGGGAATAGGGAAAGATATGGTTTGTCTTGCCCATGTTGTCTAACCGCTACTCATTTTGACTTTGGTGTCCCCTCCCAATGTCTGTCGTGCAGAAGAATTTTGAGGTCTATTCCTAACCTTTTTTCTTTTAATTAATTATTCCATTCCATTCATTATTAAAGAAAACAAGAAAAACAATTAGCAGTAATAAAAATAATCCCCCAATTTATTAATGGCTTTAGGTACTGTAGAAGAAGAAGAAGAAAAATCAATGCCCTGTATTTGCGGCACAAGTAGAGAAAAAAACATAAATACGCTCCCCTATCTTTGCGGGGTAGATCTAACCTGACGTCATATGCATTCACATTATAATTTAGAGATTAATTAATTAATTACTCGTTGTCTTGAAATTTATTCTCTTTAAATTTTTCTTGACCAAAGTTTGTAAATTCTGATTTTAATATATGGAAAAAATATGACATAAATTTAATATAATTATATTCTTATTGAGACATAGTTTTCATATATCAAATTTTTATAATTAGTGGTCAAAGTGCAATATTGAAAACCGTGAAAAATTAAATATGAAGAATATTTTCAGAGGGAGAGATCAGAGTAGTTAAAGTGTCTTCATTAGCCTTTAAAAAAGTGTTCATTATATATATAAAAAAATAAGAAGCTCTGGTCTCGAGTTCACTTGCAAAACAGAACGAATATTAAGAGGAGATAAGTTAAACTTTGATTATTACACATTTATTTTTGAATACACTTATAAACAAATATTATGGAGTACTCTCATCCGTTCGGAAATAAAGTCTCTATTTCTCCTTTTTATTTTTCATTTATATACAGGACTTTCCTAATGATAATAGGAAACAATATTAATTACACCCTATACAATTATGGAAGCTACCAATATACATTAATATTAAATATAGTAAGAATATATTTAACAAAAAATATAATTATATCATTTTGTTTTATAGAAATCTAGATGTAGTTTTCAAATATACAACTTTTATTTTTAAATCTTGTACCAATTCTCATATAAAATAAATTAAAAATAACTTCAGTCAAGTTTTATAACTAAAATGGACAACTTAAATTAGAACACAAAAAGTAATATTTATTCATACTTTCTCGATCAACATATTTGACACCGAGTTAACTAACAGGAGTATCTTATGACATTCATGATCGAAATGAAAAACAAAAAGAACTTTAATACATCAATAAAAAAAAGTAATCAATCATATCTCCACAAATATTTTCTTCAAGAAATGATCGGGTAATGATTAAGTTAATAATCAATAGGTGATTATAAAATAATATGCCAACATAATCTTACCCTATCATTTACCTAGTAAATCTTTAAAACCTTTGACAATTATTCAAAGAGGTAAAATAGTAATTTCACTTACCCCACCCCTCCATCACCACAAAAAAGGCAAAAAAAATTCAAAAAAAAAATAAAAAATAAAAATAAAATAAAATGAATGGTAGAAAAGGGAATGATGTACATTTGGGATATACAAATCCTATCAACCAGTTAAGTTACGCGTCTAGTAAGATAAAGGCAACTTTAATGTATAACCTATATATGTATGCAAAGAACAAAACGGAAGTAGAAACATGAAAAATTACGGGGTTTGGTCTACCACGTGACATTGCTTTTCTTCCACAACTCTTCTAATGTCTTCCCAAGTTTAGATTTGTCTTAACGTGGCACTTAATTCTTCACCAGTCAATATTTTTTTTGGGAAGAAGATTAGATTTGCACGCACCATTGTTTTTGTCTTTGAATCATTTAAAATAAAATATTTATGAGCTTAATTGGATGCGGTTATTTCGTAATTATTTGATGCTTTTTTTAATAAAAATATTTGATGCTTTTGTTTTAATAGATTTGATTTATGAATTTCACATTCAAAGAATTGAAGAACTCTTATGGCGTCTCTTTCCGGCAACACATAATGTGTGTGTTTTTTTTTCACTTTTGTAAAAAAAAAACACTTTGAAAGTGCAAACTTGTTTGGCTTGTCTTTTTTTTTTTTTGTTTTAAGATTTTGTTAGGAATTGAAAACTAGTCATATTTTATTGGACAAGCGAGCAATTTTGAATCTAACCGGTTGACCACTTGCAAATGAACTTTCATTCCCTTGGGGTTTTTTTAGCGCCAACACCTAAAGGACCACGAGCCGCTGGGTATGGACTTCCAAATGAGCAATCGTGTTAAACGGCCCACAGGCCGTTGGGCACATACTCCATACGG